TATACCTACACTCCCCCCCCCCTCTCTCTCTCTCTCTCTCTCTCTCTCTCTCTCTCGCTCTCTCACACTCTCTCTCACAAGGCCTACACTCCCCCCCCCCTCTCTCTCTCTCTCTCTCTCTCTCTCTCTCTCTCTCTCTCTCTCTCTCTCTCTCTTACACACACACACACACACACACACACACACACGCGCGCGGGGGGGGGGGGCAAAAACAACCAACAACGTTGTCTTCGTGGCTATGTTAGTCGACGCTTTTTGTGACGCCTCGTTTACAGTAGGCCTACTCTAAACTATAAAAAAAAGTGACTGATGAGTAGAAATCGGAGATCCAACAGCCAATCAGCAGACAGCTACTTGGTGAATACAATTCAGTTCGTGCTCTCTTAGGGCACTTTGAGCAGAAATTAATCAGTTCGAAGCTGGCGACATTTCAGGTACATACTTGTGATTCCAGTAGTAAAACTACATTGGACACTGCCTTCCCGTCTCCTGTGCAAATGAAACCGAGGCGATCAGGCGACACATAGAGATTTAGATTCCATCATATCTTAGCAAATATTCAGGTATGTTATTTGTTTTCGTATTTCTTGATATTGAACCGTATTCCAATTCTTAATAATAATAATAATAATAGATAGCATTTGTATAGCGCATATCCCCGCTCATCAGCAGGCTATATGCGCTTTACACTATATTATTTCTTATTATCAAGTCCTCATTCTTCGTCTCTCCCCATTCCTCCTCATCGTACATATTGTGCGTACTGAAAGGTCATTTCATTCCCCTTTCCATATTTTGGGCTAGTTCCGTTGTTTCTCTCTCACTTGTATTTCCTGTGCACTCTTTCTACTCAAACTGCACCCCCCCCCCCAACCCCTTCCTCCTAGTTCCTTCAGATTTAGTAATTTCTATTTTCAGTATTCCACATCCTGCAACCACCCCTCTCTCTCTCTCTCTCTCTCTCTCTCTCTCTCTCTCTCTCTCTCTCTCTCTCTCTCTCTCTCTCTCTCTCTCTCTCTCTCTCTCGCTCTCTCTCTCTCTCTCTCTCTCTCTCTCTCTCTCTCTCTCCCTCTCTCTCTCCCTCTCTCTCTCTCTCCCTCTCCCTCTCCCTCTCCCCCTCCCCCTATTAACAGACCTCCCCTATTAGGACATTAACTCAATTAATTACTACTTTAGAAATTAAAAAAGTACCAATAATTGGTGAGTTTTGAGTTCAACTTCAAATTACATGTTTGTATTTAGGTGTCTTTAAAAAAATGCCCCTGGTCATGTCGAGTAATGAGTCTTAAAATTAACCTAAGACCTTAATATTTGCTTGTTAAATCAATTCAACTGAGAACAATTTATGATATTGGTTGCTTCGTGTCATTGAAGGTGGAACCTCTCCTTCAATAGGTTGCATTCATCTTTTTCTTGTCACACTAATATTGGAATAATGGAAGTTTTAATTGGTCAAAAATACACAACCATGTGAAGAACATTTCCTAGAAGGATAAAAATTTCCTTTCTTTATAACATGCTACAATTTGTTTCTTCTACTGTTTGGCTTATTTTGATAGAATGCGGTGAATTCAAAGATGCGCTTATACCAGTATTTGATATTTTAAATGCTCCAACAGGAAGTCCTTGTTAATATTATTGACCCAGAAAAGATCTTTGTTTTGCAAATATTTAGTCTACAAGAAATGCATAGTATCAAAGTTGTAAAAAAGTGAACATTTTTAACTCATACTTTTGCAGACAGATTTTTGTAAATGTTTGTCCATCCTTTTAATCAGTAGTAAGAAAAGTTGATGTTTGGAAAATCTGTATGTGTCAAATACATGAACAGATTTTCTCTATAGCGATATAGAACATAATACTCAATCAAAAACCAATATGGGGGCTCTCGTAACCTAGAGGTTAGGGTGTTGGCCGCTCATTCGAAGGTCCCGGGTTCGAGTCCGGGTAGCGACCAAAAAAATTATTCTCTAAAATTGTCTCGTTTCACCTCATTTCCTGCTCTCTAGCAATGTTCTATCGTCTGCCTTCATCTCCTCTTTCTGCCCCACCCCCTCACCTCCTTTGCCC